CACACACACACACACACACACACACACACACACACACACACACTGACACACTCACGCACACAGACACACACTCACCCAACAAACACACACGCATAAAGACGTTTACAAACATCTACATGTGTACTATTTACACTTACACACAGGGTAACAAATAACTAAGAATGAGATCAAACGAAGACCAGTAATAAGGTCACACATTACGCTAGCTTGCGCCATCTGAGGCAAACCTGCCGGCTCAAGTCTCCACAAGCTCAACTCTGTCGTGTTTCCCCAGGTTTTACCGAACATTGCACTGACGGTTAAGCTATTGCGACAAAGACCTTTCCCTTACTCTGTCTTTGTTCATTGATTCTCTACTCACTTCATTGCCAACACCGAATTTTTCTTTCTGCCACCGTGGGTGGTTGGCGGGTGCTCTGGTGTGGTTTGCTTCTTCTTTCTTATCAAACGTCTATCGTCCTGATCTCCCCTTCCTCTTTTTTATGTTTGTTACTCTCCTGTAACACCTGTAATCTTCGGCACTTATATGACCTTATTGTGTTGCAAGTGCCGTAAAACTCTTTCTAAAACTAATTTCTTTCTGCCACCGACCCTTCTTATACGTCGACCTAGAAGAAATTGTCTTCGCTCCTTAAATTTTTCCTTCCTGTGAAAAAAACAAAAACGTTTTTATCTTGGTTTGGCCATAATTGCACGTGCGAAGCTAGAGGGGCGAGCAACGTAAGCCTGATTCTCTGTAAGGACTTCTCGGTTGACATCAGCCCCTTAGCGCTCATATCATATGGCCTTATTATGCTGTTGCGAGCGCCGTAACACTAACACCTCTACTAAAACTAAACATCGCTGATCACAAAGAGAAAGCGCGTCCGCAAATTGGACCAAGGCTACGGCTAATCATGACGAGGTTGAATGTACACGCATGTCTTGACAGGCCTGTCTCGTGGGAAAGATAAAAATGTACACCGAAGGACCCCGCTTTGCCCGTACGTTAGTTAGTGTGTGTTATTTTGCGAGAGACTGCCAGGGAGACAGGTTAAGTGTAAGTTCACAGACTTTTAGTTTGAATTGGAACAACCTTTGTGTTTCGTAAAAAATGCTTATTTTATAATTAAGGTTCCTCTTGTTTGACGAAAGCGTTCGTTTTCTGTGTGCGTGTGTTTGTGAGTGATGTTGGTGACATCCATCCAGTAGTTTAGGAAGACGTGGGCTGTCGGGGAGAAAAGATGGTTGCGAGGGCCTTTGGCAAAGTTTCCTTTATTTATTTAGAGA